GAGGACTACCCTTTCTATGGAGAGGGATAGAGATTTCCTTGATCCTGTCATGAAGCATTGGTAGGGCTTGTGGGAAATGGATTGAGGTGCAAGCCTATGTCATCTCTATCTGACAGGCCTCTTGAAACCTAGTGGCTGAATTGAGCAGGAGAGAGCATCTATGGATTTCTTGAAGTAGGAAGATGAGATAAAGTCTAAACTCATTTGGGCTGCGACATGAGCTCTCTTGGACGGGCCTTTATTGGGACCTTTCTTAATATCTGACAAAAAAGCTCTTCACATGCCCTTAGTAAAAGAATAGTTTTTACCCTCAAAATCCACCTCCACCATATCAAGAAAGTTGATAATGGTGTTGACTGCTCCAAATCCTATAATTCATAGGAGCCACAATTTTCTTAACCACTTTCTCATTTCCTGCTAAATTTGAATTGACTGCAATTACTTTTTTGTCGTTGATATTAACATTTGCATATTTGTTATCAAATTTTGACTGTTGTTCTAGTGGGTCGTCAGAAGATAAGGGTCACTGGATTTTTGAGTCCATCTCCTGCAACAAAGTTCTCAAGTCTTTCCATTTGAAATGGGTAGAAGAATCCCCTTCTCTTATGAGGATTTCAGTTCCTTTCTTTATCTTGAGCTTCTCTTGAATTGTTATCAAACCTCTACCCTTCATGAGCCATCCACTAACAGGGGACACATAACAAAAGAGAAGGGATTTGGGGGTATCACATCTACATTTAAGTTTCAATAGTACTTTCTAGGCAGATATTACTTCTATGAACAATACATCACTCAAACATGTGAAGTACTTAGCTACATCCTTTAGCAAATTAGTGAGAAATTTGTTGTCTCACAAATGAAAGGGAAGTTTGGGCAGCTTGATTGAATCTACTTCTAGCTTAGGGAAGACCTCCATTCCTTTAGATTTGGTTTATTTATAGAGAAGTTCCTCCAAATGAACCCATGTTATGTACCCTAACTTCTTGATCAATAAGTAGAGAACTTGGAAATTGAACCAATAATCTATCATGTTCTAAAAGGAGGATCTGATAAGACCAATCCCTGACATTAAAGAGGTATTCCAGCATTTCTTTGAGTTATTCAGTTGAAGGAGAACCCATTCCTATATATAGAATTCTGAAAGTTGAAAACTTTTTAATTTTATCCTTGACGGATGAGGGCATAGGGATAATAAAGATGTTGATCTACTAAGGAGCAATTAGTGGTTGGGATAAGGGGCATTCATGAGAAGTGTGCCCTAAGCCCTTGTATTTGAAGCATTGCAAAGAACCCGACTTACAGGATCTCACTACATGAGATGGATCACCATAAAAAAATATCTTTTTTGTTTCTTATACGATCTACTCATTCTCTTGCTGCTCTCTTCATGTTGATAACAGCAGTCCAGCTAGCCTCTGGGAGCGGAGTGATTCTGATAGGGAGAGAAAGAAAACCATTATCCTTACCAGGTGATAGTGTAGTAATCTTAAAGAGGTCAGTTAATGAGGCGAAAGTGGGCGGAGAAGATGATTTGGAATCTGGGGGTTTCATAAACTGGGAGAAGAAGGTTTTTGGTGGTTGATAGAAGTGACGTGATGACTACAGAAGGGGAGAGGGGAAGTTTGTTACCTTCTTAATGGAGATTTCTTCATTAATAAACCTCACCTGTCATCTTGGGGATTACGTTGCCTCTCATAATCACCTTCCTAATTGCCCTCCTAATCTCTCTATTTTTGTGATTTCTTATGCCCTACTTAAGGGGATAAATCCAAAAATATGGGAGAGTGAGTTGTTTATATGCAAAAATCAGTTAATTTTTCACTTAAAAATTATCCCCAGCATCGGAAATGCCTATTTTTTATCGTCTTAGTCACTTTTTAGGCTAAACTGTCGCCGACATCACTTTTTAGACTAAACTGGTAAGAGAATATTACTTTTTAGCGTAATCTAGTATTTTAACCTGTTGTTTTGATTGTTAATTCTATTTTTGTATTTAACAAAATGAGAATATTTTACGAAATAAACTCAAAGATTTGTATATTTTACATAATCTGATTGCACGGTAGCTTCCCCCTAGTATGACAACATCATCCAATGCAGGAGGACACGACTAACTCAGAGCAACATGATATCTTGATAAGAAACCTATATTAGTCTGTTTCTTTTTTCTAATTGCCCCTCTTAACTTCAGCTATTTTACTTCAAAATAACGTGCTTGTTTTACCCTATACTTTCTTTTGCTAGTCTCCTATCTGTAAATCGAATTTGGACTTCTTCCCTATCCAAAAAGTAATAAGTAATTGAAAGACCACTATTTTATTACAACCATTTATTTTTTTAGTTTTATATGAAAGAGTTTCAAAAGTATTTATTTTAACCTCAGCACAATTTCATAGTTTTGATGTAACAACTAGAGACTAAGAAACATACTCAAGATTTTATTTTTGCTTAAGAAACCTTCTTTTCTTTTCTTTTCTTTGAGGATTTTCTTTTTCTTTTTTTAATATGTACCATGCGTATGTTCCTCATATTTCATAATATTGAGCGGCATTTGTCAACGAAAGGATTCATGTATATATTTTTCATAAATATTGACAACTAGAAGAATTGGTCCCTAGTCTAACCTCAACTTCACCCGCTCTAGGGATTAAGTCAATGTTCGCTATTTTTTATTACAAATTTAATTATTAAGCAATAAGTAATTATGATTGGAATGATGATATCTTTGCTATTTTCGGTAAGGGGCTGTTTGGTTCGTTTCCTAAAAACCAAGAAAAGGAAAGAAAAGCATGGAAATCAATAAAATTTGGTTTCCATCATTTTCTACCCTTAGAAATCTCCCACATCAACCAATAATATGGTGACAACTCATCTTATTTCTTATTTTTAAAAATAAACTAAACACAAGAAATGGGTCACATCAATCAACTCATCCAACTCATCTCATCTCATCTACTACCATCTTTAAAAACCACTCACATCATCCAATAATATGGTGACAACTCATCCTATCTCATTAACATTTCATTTTCACCAATTTCCTCCAAAAAAGCTAGGAAATCGATTTCCTTAAGTGTGGGTCACATCATCCAATAAGATAATGACAACTCATCTCATCTCATCTATTTTCTTAGTTTTAAAAATCACTCACATCATCCAATAATATTGTGACAACTCATCTCAACTTATCTCTTTTTTACTTTTAAGAAGTGAACCAAACACAAGAAAACATCCAATTATGGGAAATATGTTTCCTTTTCTTTACTTTCCATGTTTTTTTAGCGAACCAAACAGCCCCTAATTCAAATCCTCACCACTTTCCATTCAAGTGTTTACATTGTTTGGTTAGGAATCTTTGTGAATCCTAAAATAATAATATTACATTGTTTGGATAGCATAATGTAAACTAGAGTATTTATGACAAAAAATAGAAAGTGGTTATCCACCTCACCACTTTCTACAAGATTTTGACTTTTTTATTATTTTTTTGGACACATTTATAGCATTGTGTCAGCTTTCCACCAAAATCACTCCTAATTTTGGTGATTTTGCTTTCGGTGGCACCTCATCAAAAGGTGTAAGCTTTTCATGTAAAAGAGAATTTAAACAAACAATGTAAAGTGATAAAAGCTGACATTGGGACCCACTCTTTTACACTTTCCATTCTTTTACATGGTAAAAACATACAACCAAACAGCCCCTATATGAAGTGGGATGCACTAAAATTTCCAAAAGTTTTTAATTTAATACGCCCATTAATGCCCCCCCCCCCCCCCCATGTTTCGCGCTTCGTCCCGTCCAATGGAGTTGGTGAAATACCAGCTCACGCGGCCCGAGTCCGAGCGGATAGACGAGAGGTTTGAAGTCAAAGCTAGCTTTGCAATTAAATAATTCAACAAGGTCCAATTTGAGAAAATGCGAGCAACATGCTGCCACTGTTAGGGCTAACGCATAGGGGTGCTTAACCATGTATCTGTGTCTAGAAAATATTCGTCACCATATCCGTAATCATATCTATAAGATATGGTTATGGATATGATTTTATAGTGAAATGTCTATATCCGTATCTGAAATATCCGAATACAATTTAGTCATTCTCTTAGAATAGTTTTGATTCTTAGATTATGGATTTATAGTTAATTTTGATGATCAAGATGTCTAATCTTAACTTTTCAGTTATAATGAACATATTAACGAACTCTTTTGTATCACATGAACTATGTTTTTCTCAATAGTATCTAGTTTTTTCATATTTGTTTTGTATCCGCATGCATATCCGCTTTATATATCCACGTGTATATCTATAATCGTATCCAATTTTATCAACGTATCTCCGTATCCGAGATGGGTATATCTATAATCGTATCCAATTTTATCAAGGTATCTCCGTATCCGAGATGGGTAAGCGGATATGGATATGTCATATGTATCCGGACCCAATGAACCCCTACTGACGCATGTGAAGCATCTACTCGCTTGGAAAATAAAAGAAAAAGGGAGGGGGGGGGGTTATATATACCTCTCAAACATTTAATATTCACAAATTTATTTCTCAAATTTTGATATTTATAAAATTACTCTCTAATTCTGTCTTATTGAATTTTTCTACCCCTTAATTTAATAATGTTGTTTTCTAACTAGAGCAATATAAAAAAATTCAATAATTTTCAATACGTTTGGAGCATTTTTCCCATTTGGAAACTATAACTATTGACTGGGAGGGGTACAAGAGCATAATATGAGAGAATTGATGGGTAATTTTGTAAATATTAAGATTTAAGTCTTTTGTAATATAAAATACTAGAACGGCATATATGAAAAAACTCCAAGAAATCGATATATCAAATATCGAGTATACTGAAAACTAAATATCAAATATTTTCTCCGTCATTGTGTCATATTTGGAAATCCTACTTTTATCAGGATTAAACTAGGAAACAAAAATAGGATTTCGATATTTAATGAGAGCTGTATCATATTCCCCTACTATATAACTACGCCTCTGATCAAGAAAATAATCACAAAATTTCTTCAAAAAAGAAAGCAAAAAAAAAATCAATTTCTCTCCAAAACCTCTCCCCTTCTCGCCGCTGATTCGAGAAGAGAATATTAAAAACCAGCGACCTTCCAATCCAAAATCTCTCGGATTCAAGCTCAATTTAAAGTCAGAATCAAATCTAAGATCTCGACAGAACTCAGAGCTTGTTGCAATGGCGAGAGGCGCTCGAAACCCTAGGCTTTTCTCGAGTCGCAGATCGAATCCCTACTCTCTAATCTTGACTGGTCTCCTAACTTTGTCGATGTTTCTCTTGATGCTACTTGCTCTCGGGATCGTCTCGTTGCCGATCAACTCTGATAACGCTCCGAGAGCAGAGCATGCAAAGATTCGACACGATCGGTCCGTGTTCGAGAGGTTAGAGTTTTCGTTGGATCTGATTGTTTGAGAGCTTGATCTGGGGAGTTTTTTTTGGAAGGAAGCTGATGTTCTTGTTGTTTTTGTAGGGATGGGATGGGAATGAGAGGGAAACAGTGGACGGAGATCTTGTCGTGGGAGCCTAGAGCTTTCGTTTACCATAATTTTCTGGTTTGTGCTCTAAAGTTGCTCTTAGATTTTTTTTGGATTTTTTTTAAGCTTGGGAATTTGTTGAAAATAATTGGATTTCTCAGTGAATTGAAACTTGTAAGTTTATCAATTTGTTTCTAGTTGTTTGCGTGGAACTAAAGAGTGGACTGTTTATGGGTTTATTGTTAGTTTGCTGCTTTGTCTCTTCTTAGCTACTGACAATTGCAAATTATGGGCTTGAACCTTGAAGGAACTGGTGATAAGTCTGATTAGTGATGATTAACATTTCCTTGCTCGGCCAGGGAGCACATAGGGTTTAATTAAAACCTTTAGGTTCTTATACTTTTCACTTCTGTTTTGCATCTCAAAATCTTAAAGAGCACGACCTTTTGTGACCTTCCTTCATTTTGTAGTAACTGGGGTAATTATGGTTTGCATAATCTCAGCGGGCAATAAATCATAAAGTCTACTTATTTTCGTTATTCCAGTTATTAATACCTACTAAGAGTGGGAACATGCTTGTCCAGATGAGAATACACATGAAATTGGGTCAGGGGCAAAGTCTTTTTACTTAACTGTTATGCTCTTGCACCGACAACTTGCTTAACAGCTAACATTGACCTAGTGAGGCTTCCTCCTAATTAACATAATTGGTTGATTTAATTTCAGCTTTATGCCTTGCGTTTTGCTTTTGTTATTACATGCAAGTTTTTAAATATGGGATAGCAGAAAAATATCGGATGAACAAAATCCATGCCTACCGGATTGTGGATATTGGAGATATGTAGTAAATACTGGATGGTGTGCATATGTGACGTAACATCCTAAAACGTAATCTAAACATACTTAACAAATAAGCATACTAAATTGAACCATAAATCTGAGCCATTCTTTTAAATTTAAAGCAAATAAAAGTGCAAATCTATATTGCAACAGTTTGGCTGATTTCTTTGAGGCTGAAATGTTATTGGATATATTGCGAAAATCATGATATACTGCACAAAAATTGTATGTTCTTGCGAAGAGCCATATAAAGAGAAATATTGGCCGACATATAGGTTGATAAATCAGTCATGACGGATATCTCACCGAAAAGTTGCCAAAAAGCGGTAAAGGATATTGAGACCATATCAGTTTACAACAAGCTTTATAAAAGGATATATCGGCGATATTATTGACTGTAATGGGGATATGTATAGAATGCTTGCATGGCTAGTCTTACGTATAATTCTTCCATGGCCTATTCTGACGCAAATTGAATTGCATGCCAGGTTTCAGTCATTTTATATTCTAGTTGCAACTTTGAGGTTAATTCCAAAGTCCAAATAAATGAAAAAAAATATCAGCCGATGAAAAAACCAATGACCCAATGTATAGTGTCAAAACAAAATGGGGAAAATCTGGTGTGACCATTGGTATCAGAAAGTTATCTACTGGATTTATTGGTTTTCTATTTTCTTCCTGATCTTCATCCTTTATAACAAAAGTCTTCTTACCTGTTGACGCCACTCATATCCATTCTGGTGATATGGTTGGGTTATAATATTTTCTTCTAGTCTGCAAGTTATTGAAGTCTTACAAATTTTTAGAATATTGTTGAAATTTGCAAGAAATGAGTTTGTAACTGCTCTGTAATTTATTAGTCGAAGGAGGAATGCGAGTATTTAATTAAACTAGCTGAGCCTCATATGGTGAAGTCAACCGTTGTGGATAGTGCTACTGGAAAGAGTAAAGATAGCAGGTTTGCTTTTCAGCTACATTATTTCTTGACCTTTTCTAATGTAATTTATGGTCTCTTAGTGTGTGTAATTGACATCTATGCAGGGTGCGGACAAGCTCAGGCACGTTTCTCCAAAGAGGACGGGACAAAGTAATCAAGGCAATTGAGAAAAGGATTGCTGATTTTACCTTTATACCTGTAGGTACGTAATAGAAGATTTCACCTGCTACATACATTATTTTGGTAACTAGTGAAATTCCAATATTTACTACTGTGGTCTTTCCTTTGTAGAACACTATGTGCATCTTGCAATACTAGGTGTAGACTTGTAGGTGTTAAGTTCTTTTTGAAATGTTTTTCATAAGAAGCAGATGATAAATATAATTCTTCCACATTGTAGAGTAATTGTCGTTTTTGCATGTGAACTTTAGATGGTTACTTGATGACAATATTTCCTAGTTCAAGACCCTTCTTAAGTGGTTACTTGATGATTGTCTTGCTAGCATGGTTTAAAGGATTAATTTCGATTGATTTTGATATCCTAGTGGATGCCACACAAATTGTAGAAGGAAAACAAAATGAGCTCAACAAATTTGAAGACGTATGAAACAGGGGGAGGCCACATGACTATTCAAACCTGCATTTAATCTGTCTTTTACTTTCTGGACTTGGGCCACAATGTGGCACCAACAGGAAAGCCTAATATTTGGGGTTCTGACCCTTGTTTTCATTGGGATACTTCTTTAGTCCAAAATGGTCAAAAAGCCAATTTCTATCTGCCTTCTATTGTTTGCATATCTCAGTGATTTGCAGATGTACAACTGTACATGAGTTTTAATGATTGTTTTGTTGTAATGACTAATGACTAGTCAAACCTGCATTTAATCTGCCTTTTACTTTCTGTCTTGGGCCACAATGTGGCACCAACAGGAAAGCCTAATATTTGGGGTTCTGACCCTTGTTTTCATTGGGATACTTCTTAGTCCAAAATGGTCAAAAAACCAATTTCTATCTGCCTTCTATTGTTTGCACACCTCAGTGATTTGCAGATGTACAACTGTACATGAGTTTTAATGATTGTTTTGTTGTAATGAGATAAGAATGCCCTTAACTATGTCATTCGGATTCTTGGTGGTTGGTCAATAGTATGTTGGTTACTGGACAAACATGGAATTGATGTTGTCATTGCATTGACGGCAAACTAAGTATCAAATTGGTCCTGGTATTTACATGGGTAACTGAGACAAACATTTACATTGAGTGTCTCAAGGAACTCAAGCCTCCCTAAACGTGGCCATCAACCATTCCTTCAAGGCTAGAGTATAAGGTTTTTGGCAGCTGTCTAGTTATTTAAAAATGAAGTAGATCAAAGCCCCTGATGAACGAATAAAAGAATTTTGCTGAAACTGCACTTGTTAACTTCCTTGCATAGAAAATAAATATGGGAAGTAGCAAATCAACCTCTCTTTCTAGTGGAACTAAACATTCATGAAACCTTAACAAATTAATAAGTCCATTCGCCGGAGAATGGGACATTATTATAAGCCTCATCCACCCTAACAATAGTGCTGCTTTCCAAAGAGTTCAAGAAGGAATGATTATATGTTTCAGCATTTATGGCCAATAATTCCCGAGGAATGGGCATCTTTACTAAGGATATTTTATTTGTCACAACATGGATTGAGGAGGATGAAATTCATAAATTCAAAGAAATAAGTAAAGTGAAGAAATGAATTTGGAGTAGACTGCAGGAGCGTTTTGAGATTAAATGGTAATATTCATAAAATGAGTCAGTGTTAAACTATGAAAGGCTATTCAAATTGCATGGTCTGCATTGGTTACCGTTGGACTTAGCTATATCTAGTCCTAAATTTCCCTCATCTTTATTAATCCTTCACTGAAGGAGATTAGTTTTGTCTATTGTTATTTGTTAGTGTGTGAAACCTGTAATAACTGAATTTGAAAGTTAGCTTAACTATAATGAAATTCCAAATAAGTGGCTTTTGTGCGTGCATATAATTTTAACCTCCTACTGACTTGGATATTGCTTACTCATATATTTCATAACATGGTTCCAATGAAGGAGAAATTTATTTATTAGTAAACAAAAGACTTGATTCCTTCAAAGGTTATGGTTAGTAGGCAAGAAGTAGAATAATATGTTGTTTTGCTTTTACATCTGTTTTCCTTTTAGTGCCATATTCATATTTACTCCCATATTTCATAACATGGATCCTGTGAAGGAGAAATTTATTTATTAGTATACAAAAGACTTGATTTCTTCAAAAGGTTATGGCTAGTGGGCAAGAAGTAGAATAATATGTTGTTTTGCTGTTACATCTGTTTTCTTTTTAGTGCCATATTCATATTTTACTCCCGCAATATGATTACTAGAGGTGACCATATTCCCCCCATCTATCATGGTTTCAGTAGTCTTAATCAACTTCATGTTCCACAGAGCATGGGGAAGGGCTCCAGATTCTACATTATGAAGTTGGGCAGAAATATGAACCTCATTATGACTATTTTCTCGATGAGTTCAACACTAAAAATGGGGGGCAGCGGATTGCTACTGTTCTCATGTACCTGTATGTCTGTTACCCCTTATTTTTCTTCGCTTCATACTCAAGGTTATATTTTTCTACTACTACGCATTGAAACCTGATATTTGCCTTGCTATATTATATGTTGCTATTTGTACAGTTCTGATGTGGAAGAGGGCGGTGAGACTATATTTCCCTCTGCAAATGTGAACAGCAGCTCTTTGCCATGGTACAATGAGCTATCAGAGTGTGGAAAGAGAGGCCTTTCTGTTAAGCCAAAAATGGGAGATGCCTTGCTCTTTTGGAGCATGAAACCTGATGCTACTCTAGATCCGTTAAGTTTGCATGGTATGTCTTCTCTTCTGTTTCTTTCCAATAAACTTCTATGGCTATTTGGTAACTTACTTTTCCATTAAATGTTGTGATCGTGTATTATAATGTAAACCTACTTTCTTCAACGCTTTATGTTTGTATTGGAAAGATAAAATGGCTATTTATTCCCGTCACTTGTAATTGTGCAGGTGGATGCCCTGTGATTAGAGGGAATAAGTGGTCATCTACCAAATGGATGCATGTCAATGAATATAAAGTTTAAACTATCCCCGAGGTACTTTTAATTTCACCTGTCTAGTTTATGTGAAAATTTAGATTTGTTTTGTTTCGTTCATTGTTGCATATTATCGATGTTATGATTTTGGACCAACAGTCAAATGAGCTTTAATTTACGTTTGTCGAATACATCTCTTGCTGTAATTTATGATTTAACATGACTAAATTTTCTGGTTAATGCAAGTGTACGCTCAAAGTAAATTTTAAACATCCTATCAATGTTGGTATGTAAAATGACATATAAAGAAAATGATGAGAGCTACTTTATTAATTATTTAATACCACTCAATTAATTTATCAATTACATGTTCTAAATGTCATCAAAGACATTTTTGTATATTTTCAACAATGCCCGGGTGTTATTAATTTGGCAGGAATGACACCATCGCTCCAAATTTTGGAGTTGTATACTGAAATGCACAAAGCTCGTACAGAGAGTGGTGTGTTAAAGTGTTCAATTGTAAAACAACCCTCTTATTGACACATACGTCCTTTTTTGGGTAAATTTCACGAAGTTACCATGAACTTAGGGTGGTTTGGCACTAATAAACTTTTTATATTAGAGAAAACTGCCATGAACTTTTGAAATCCCCAAAGTTTAGAAAAACGAAAGCCCCCATAGTTCACAGTGGTTTTGTGAAAGGCTTAATTGCACTTACATATCCTCTAATTTCCCTACGTTGCAGTTATATACCCACTTGTTTTTGGCATCACTTATATACCCTGAAGTTTTAAAATCTGCACTTTTAATATCCTCAATCATGCAAACGCGAGAATTTCTCCATGAAAGTTCTCATGCAACACTCACGTATTAATTTTAGTGCATCTTAACTGATAATTTTTCTTAAATGTATTGTTAAAACTATCAAAATCCAATTTTAAAATAGAACTACGGTAGTTTTGAAATAGAATTAGGGTAGTTGTTGCAGTAAATTTACAAAAAATTAAGGGTTATAAACTTCTAAAACTAGTGTGTCACTGTCGAATGAGAATTTTGGGGTGGGGTTCTTGGTTCTCAGGTTTGCATGGCTGAGGGTATTTAAGTGCAAAATTTTAAACTTTTGGAGGTAATTAAATGCCTCCAAAGACAAGTGAGGGTAGATAAGTGCAAAATAGGGGAAATTGTAGGGTGTTGCAATTAAGCCTCTGAAACTTTATCCTTAAACTTTTTTCCCCTTCATATTCATCATTGCTGAAAATAACCAAATATTTTTTCTCTCTCTCTTTTTTTTAATTCATGATTGCCGAAAATAACCGAATATTTTTTCTTGTTGTTTTTCTTTTTTATTTTTTTTCATTTACAGGTTAGAAAGGTCAGTTGCATGTGTCTAATACCAAATTTTAACATACAATCCCTTTGACTGCGCAACTTATTCTTTGCCTACTGGATGATGATGTATCTTCTTCTTCCGGATGCGATAAAGTATGGTTCTTTGTGACCACAGTTGGCTAAGTTATAGTCTGTAATTGAGACCCCATATCTGTACCTCGGAAGTAGCTTAATGTATAGAGTTTTTAGATATGTTTGAATAAATTTCTAGAATTTTGATTTTATTTTCAAAATACTTGGCTGTTACTCAATTATAGCTTTTATTACTGGCTGTTGTTCACTTAGTGTTCAAGATCTTAGTAGTTACTATCCGTATCTACTTGATTGATGATCTAGAATGAAGAATCATCCAATATAGAATCCTGAAGAAAATACGAACTATATGCTCTTTTAGTTTTAATTTATTTTCTTAGGTGATGTTAAGTGTATAAAATGAAATGGGAATGACTTTCTTTTACGTTAGGGTGTTATTATAGGAAATTCTAATATGACAAGAGCATGATCAAGAGATACACAAGAATAGTGCAAATTACACTTTCGGGAAATGGGTGACTCAAAATTCAATAATTTTGACTGAATTGTAGATAATTTATGAAAAAATTATGTTTATTTATCATTAGCTATATAAAAAGCCAACACCTATGGTACTCTAAAAACTAATTTTGGAGTACCGATGGCATAATTAGTAATTATTTTTCATATATTTCTCTCTTTCTGATTTACTATTTATATAAGGGAATAAAGAGAAAATCTGATTTTTAGGATTAGTTACCACCATTCAACTATCCATTACCACATTTTCTAATTATCAAAAGATTTGTTTTTGTATCTCAAAATTTTGTACTTTCCCTTTTTTGAGAATTCATAAGGACTTTCTACAGAATTTATTTTTTCAAAATTATTGGACGATGGTGAAAAGACTCTAAACTAAGTAAGCCACCGAATATAATTTTTTTACTGGATTAAAAGTTTTTTTTATTTTATTAATCTGGCAGGGAAAAAAGAGTTTTCTAATAAGATACAATAAGAGCAAAAAGATGGACGCTATTTAATAAGTGATATCTCAAGAGAATATTTTTGGCATGAAGCTTTACATTTTGTTAATATCCTCTAAAATTTTGCAATTTAAAAAAAATTCTTACAATTCACCTCAGAGTCGTTAATGAGTGAGCGAAGAATGGAGGTTTTGGAGGAATAAAAAATGGGAAAGGGAAAAATTAAAGTAAACAGGAGAGGACAATCACACCCGCCTGAATTTTTAGCCATTTTTAAATTTATAACATTTTAAAAATAAAAAATGCCTAATTTTGGAGAACCGTAGCATAAAATGTGTCCAGGCCCCAAAAGTAGAAACTTCATGTGACGAGGCCCCTCATAGTTTCCCCCATGTGGATCAGCCCCTTGAAGTGTGACACTTTGTACTGTAGCTCCTTTTTAGCAATTATTACATGCGAACTAAGCTAAAATCCCCAAATTATCTTTATCCTCTCTCCTCAATCCCTCAAACCATCTCTCTCTCTCTCTCTCTCTCTCTCTCTCTCTCTCTCTCCCGCTCTCTCTCTCTCAAGCTCTCAAGCTCCATTCCTGCCAGCGACTATGTCTTTCACGACGACGTCGGGCTCTCATCTCCCCTCTCTCTCTCTCATCTCCTCTCTCCTCTCTCTCTCAAGCTCTCAAGCTCTCAAGCATCATTCCTGCCCGCGACTACGCCCTTCACGACGACGTCGGGCTCCAGATCCGCGCCCTAGCTCGCGAGTTGGGCCCTCGAGTTCCCAACCACTTCCCCTCCTCTCCTCCGCCCTGCCTCGTCGTCGTTGCTCACTGCCGCTCCCCGTCTCGCCCTTGACTATGCCGAAGTTCGCCACTGTCGCTAACTGCCTTGCCCTCGAGTTCGCCATCAACGCTGTCGGGATGCCATCAACCCGGATGCTTGCCAAGAAGAAGCTACAGGTCTTCAACAACTTAGACTAACATATATTGCATCACATGTCGATCGTGCCCAGCATCAACTTTCACGATAACAAATGTTTTTTGGCTTTTTCAATATTCAGGAGAACAAAGTGATGTTGATTCTGATGGTAATTAATCAAAACATTATTTAAGCTTGCATCTAAACCTTTGAATTCCTCTCTTTTGGACTTGGGCTCTTGGGCAATGAATTGGTCGGAGTAGATTCTCCATTCGATTGCGTTTATTTGGCAATGAGTTGGTCGGAGTAGATTCTCCATGCTAGTTCTAGCCCGCACTATGTTAGTTCTAGCTAGTTCTAGCTCTAATTCATTTTAGTTCTAGGCTCTTGGGCCCTCAAGTTAGTTCTAACCCACACCTTCTTAGTTCTAGCCCGCACCATGCTAGTTCTAGCCCGCACTATGTTAGTTCTAGCAAGTTGGGGCAAGTTATAACTAACAATATTCGAAGCGATATAACGAGAGGTAGAAAATGAGCCCAAGTGAAAGGAAGATACCGTGTGATAGACAATATAAAGGGCTACACACCGGCGAAGACGATGGTGAAAACGGAGATCGGAGGTGGTCGCAAAACGCGCGCGAAGTCGGCACGGCGCTGCTGTTTTCTGCTCGCTGCTGCCGTCGAGCGATGTTTCGGACGTTACCGAGAGAGATAGAGAATGAGTTAGAGCGTGATACAAATTGGAGGTGATAGGCAACATGTAGGGCTACTCACCAAAGAAGAAATCGGCGGAAATAGAGATTGGAGGTGATCGGAAAGTGCGTGCGAAGTCGGCACAAAATTACAGTTTTCTGCAGTGCAATTTCTCGCCGTTCGGGTTTTGTTCTTCGCTGTTCGGAGCTTTTCCCTGGAGCGAACCTCCTGTTCCCATGCCTCCCGACGCCGAACTTGAGATAAGAAGCGCTCCACGTCAGCCGCAGGACCTCCTTACAGCAGGGTCTCCAGGTGTGTCAGACGCGACTCCAGATAGAGAAGCCACTACATGCAACGGGCGGCGAGACGAGGTTCACCCAACCTCCTGAGATCGACCATGCGATCCAGGAGGGACTGTTTGAAGTCAGCATAGACCCCAAGGCCAAGGTTGACGAGGGAAATCACCTGCTTCGCGGCATTTTTAAATTCTTCGATACGAGCCTGTAGATACAGAGAGCCTGTGGGAACGGGCTCTTGACCCTGAGCAAGCGCTACAATAGGAGGAACCTCAAGGCAAGACTCCGCTCCAGGCGGGGGAACAGGTTGCGAAGAGGGAGAAGCCGCGGCTCCCTCGGACTCGTCATCGGAAACGAGTATGGGCTCAGTCCCCCGCTCTCCGGTGAAGGGCACTCCTTCCCGAACTGCACGATGGCACAACAACAACAAAAAAAGAGAAAAAGAGAGGGTTAAGAGCGGGGGATATCACCTTACTCATAGACCTATAATCGAACCGAACGAGGGCCTAGACGCCGAAATACCTTCGGCGGTGGCAGCTTCGACGGCGGAAGAGGAGAAAACACTCTTGCCCTTCTTTGAAGTGGTCCTCTTCACCTTTGGTGCCATCACAAGCACAGCAAAAAGGAAGCGCGTCTCTTTTGAAAAGACAACTGGAAGCCATGGCATCTCTTAATGCAGAGGGGGAGGGCATTAAATACATGGCATGGGTGAATGCCCGTCGTTCGATTGGACCGTTCGAATCGAACAGTCACGGATAAGGCGAAGGGATACCAGATCTCACGCGAACGGTCGAGATGTGTCAGTTTCCAACATGATATCTGGCCAACGGTTCAGGTCGGGTGCGAAGAACGGGGAACCCCCACTATGTCGCCTTTAACGGGAAAAAACGTGCCCACGTCGTCTTAATTGATAGACGTGTGGCCCACCAAAAAAACAAGGCCCGCCTACGAATTAAATTCGTCAAGCGAACTCGCACATATGGGGTTCGCCCGAAGGCTCAGACCCGTGCGCTATGCTGATCTGCCTAACTAAGATTTAATCATGTTTGAGGTTCGAGCCACTTTCAAGTTCGCCTAAAGATTGACCCTATTGGGATTCAAGCGAAGCTTAAACTGTTCGTAATTCCGCTTAAGGCTGAATTTTGCCTACAGCGGGGACTTGCCCGTGGCCAGGAATCACCCGATACGAATCAACCGACGGTTGATTTGACAACGTCCGCTGTAACCAGCGACAAAATACACACACACAGAATAAAAGGAGCAATGACTGAGATGAAAACACGATTCCATTCATTAAGAGAGGTCCGAATACAATGACATAACCGAAACATATTAAAAATTTCTCAGCCGTGACTCCAACTCGCGAATCTCTTCAGCGCGCTTGAACTCGAGCCTCCTCAAGATCTCTCAACGAATATCCTCTTCAGAGCGTGAAAGCAAGTCTTGGACGGTGTGCCTCGCCGCCTTGAGGGCTCGGTCCTTCTCCTCGATAGTATCAACAACCAGGTGCTGTCGATACTCGAGTGCTTCTAATTCCCCGATCACCTGTTCACGAGCCTTCTCCTGGGTAGCCAATAAGGCATGCGCATTAGCAATCATTTGTTTGGTCCCCGCTATCTCCGAAGATAGGCGGGAAGTACGAGAATCGGCCTCTTGGCGCACCAAGCTCATCCGCTCGCTCTCAGCCGTAGCACGCTCCAGCTCTTGCGTCAGCCTCGCCTCCAACGACATTGTCTCCTCCAGTCTGCGATCGCGCTCCTCCAATGCTATCTGGACCTCGCCGGACACGAGATGGAGGATCTCGGAACTCGTAGTACAAAGGGCAAGCAGCTGCCTAATAACCTGCTCTGCCTCCTCCAAACGTTTGAAGTACAGATTGACGGCGGATGGACCCAGAATCCTGATTAAGAAGCCCATATGATATTCAAGGGCCTCCTTGAACTCCTCAAAGGGGCAGCTTTCCTCCACCGCGAGCCTGATGCTGTCTGCAAGGGTGTCTTGGAGGCTGGCAATGGTTCGATCCACCAACTTTTTGCGCGAAAGAGCCAAGGGAGAGAGGGTGGCCTCGTCGACCTCCGATGTCGTCACCAAAGCCGGGGCCGAAGCACTAATAGCCACAGCAGTGGGAATAGTAACAGACACCCCTGAGGCTAGAGCACGAAACGACCTCGTCGGGGTCTCGACCACGGATTCGAGCGCGACCTCAACGGTCGTCAAGATGGGAGGCGAAGGATTAACCACCGCACGGGTAGATGCTTCCCCTTGGGTGGAAGCCCCCTGGACCGGCGACCCTATCTCGACCGATGCTTCTTCGGGACCGTGAGTCTCCCCTACAGAGTCGGATGGTCCCTCGTCGCTCGACATCATCTCATGGATCGAATCA